ATAATAATAAATTGGTTATAATTAATATAATTAAATAAAATGAAGATAACGTTTATAATACCTTATGATCATTGTCGATTATATCATTTACATAACACTCTTTTTATATATTATTTAAAAAATAGTATATTTACTAAATGACCAAACACACGAGTTTCAATCATTTTTTAGTACATCATAATAAGAAAGACAAGATTAACCGAGGTTGTTCAAACAGACATAGGATAACTACAAGGTATTACTGTAGCAATTGGGATTATGGATTTTCAACTTATGGGGTAGTATGGGATCCATAGTCGAGGAGAAAATTACCCGTTTGATTGAATACGTGAAGTTATGATCATAAAAGTTAGTTGGGAAATTGTGAACTTGGATTTTATCGACAGTTCAACTCTTGTATTTTGACAGTGTATAACTCACAAACTGTAAGTCGAAATAAGCTTGTATTTTGCAGTTAGAAAAGCCCTTACAGTATACTACAACTTTCATGAAGGGTCGAAAAGCCAATTATGACTCTAAGTAGTTTGAAATAGTGTGTTTTCGGGGCTGTTTGCACTGTATTCGGGATTAATATGTTGTTTTGTAAAATTCGTATAAAATATATTGATAATCAAAATGATGTGGGTGGATTCATATATCAAAGTTAACTAACTTCAATAATTTTAAAAAAAAATTATCATCGTCACGCAACGCACGATGTCAAACACTAGTTTTATATAAACATGTTGACAAAATTTCTCTCTTTTTAATATCATATATTACTGGTTGTAAACAGAACCTCCATCGATGGCCCTTCCCCTTTCCATCGAACCCCTCCAGGCTCCATCGTCGGTGAAACCAAACTTCGGTGAAGCACTATTAGCCATTTGTTTGGTAACTTTTTTTGTACAAGTAGGGATAAGATTGTTACGAATTACAAACCAATCAAAAGAGATATTTATATAAATTATGAGAGTTTATTTATTATAATCTAGATATTGATGAAAGATGATCAAAGTTTATTCATTAGATTAGATTGATGATTGAAATTGGTTTGTATGATTTCTTTCTATTCATTAAGGGTTTGTGTTTGAAACTTCCTCCATTTGTTAACAATTAAAAAACAAAAAGAAACACCTCCTTTTCACCTGCATCATCCGCTTTCTTCGACTACTTTCCAATCTTCGGCTTATCGGCTACCCCCCTTGTGTGTTCATATCCACCAAATCAAACCGACAAACTAGGTTTTCAGATGTGTTATTGCTCCTTGGTCATCTTTCCCATCTTGAGATCTAAGATCCCGAGTTTAGATCCAAAATTCCTTTACGATCTAGTTTTATTCATGGAAGAAATAAATCCCAACTACACCCATTAGGACTAAATAAGGGGTGTTTATTTAGAGCTTAAAGGGCTTAATGGTCTATATGGATTGTTCGCACAACTATCTTGGATTGTTTACTTGCGGCTTATTTGTATAATACATGACTTATTCACAGAGATGAGTATGGTGTGTTGTCCAATTCAGAAAAAAAAAAAAAAAAAAAAAAAAAAAAAAGGCACCCCTACCCCTAATTTTTAATAAACAAGTCTGGACATAAAAGACGCCTCCTTCCCTACAAACATGCTTCTTTCCCTACAAACACACCTCCTCTTCCAAACTATTCAAAAGCCTAGCCATTGCGTACATGAGATTCTCCTGCACCATCGTCTGTGACCAATGACCTTCTTTACGACGACCGTTGAGCCATAACTTAAACCAATCTCCTTCCTCATCCACGCCTCCCTCTTTTCCCCGGCGGCCCTGCGTCTGCTTCTTGACAGGTGAGACCTCTGCATCTTCTTCCCGATGGGAGACAACTCTCTCCCAATATTGACTTATGCTCTTTTTTCGATTTCGCATCTCTGTTCATCTGTTCAGCTATTTGAACTTAGGTGTTTGAAATGATGTCTTCCATTCAACATCATATCTTCCATTGGGACATCTACTGTAATATGGCTTGAATTCTTTCTACAGCTTCATTGCCCCTCTCTAGCCTCCTATGTCGAGCATGAAATGCAGTCTTCTTAATTAGGACTTGTTGTATGTTGAATCATTTCAGATTGGGTGGTATATGCATCAAGTCAAGGGGATACTGTTGATTTTCCTTATTTTGGTTGTATATGTAGATTTTTATCGTGTAAAATGATGATATATTAGTTCAAGCAACAATAAAATAAATTATGATTGTGTTGAAGTTTATCTTTTGGATGATTAGAGATGCCCACCATGTATCTAATGAATTGATGTTATATGAAAAGGTTAAGTTCAACTAAATATCGTAAAACAGTTTTTCCTAAAAAAAACATAAACAACAATATAGGACTTAATAAAAAAAATTGGTAAACAATATAGATGGCATGAACTAAAACCAAAATAAACTCAAGAGTTTTCGTCTTCCTTGTCTTGTCTCCTTCATCCCTGACCACCCCCATCTTTGGCCTCCTTTCTGTTCTATAATTCGTGACAAATTGTACTTGTTAACTAAAAAAACTTTTATGGATCGAAAACTTAAATTTTATTAAACGAGCTTGGTCTTTTAAATAGGAGTAACAATCATAATTACAATCAAAATAAGGAAACAATCCTAAATCAAATAAGGAAAACTCTCAAAGATGGAAACATAAAAAAAAGGAGAAATAAAAGGTAAGTAAGATAAGGATAAGAAAAGATTATCAACAAAATCTTTTACTCCCCCTCAAGTTAGAGCATGTAAGTCTCGAATGCCCAATTGTGAAGTAGCTTGCGTAATTGATCTGCGCCCAATGCCTTAGTGAATATGTCAGCCACTTGTACTTTCGTGTCAACAATGAGAGGTTTGATTTCCTGTTATTCAACACGCTCACGGACAAAGTAGCAGTCCATTTCAACGTGTTTGTATTTCGTCCCACAGTCCTCGCATCTTGGTGTAATAGGATGAAACAGATGCACCATTCTGAGCCGTGGTGGTCAAGGTAGTTCATATGCTCGAGGAGCACTTTCCTTGCCAAATCTTTCTTCAAGATCGGCCCTTATATCCGCAGCGGTGTTGGCGTGTTTGACGCTTGATCTGATATCTTTCTCCATGGCTGTAGTCAACCATCCCTTTATCATAGCATCACATCTCATCCATAACATATATTGTGCCGATTCCTCCTCTGGCCTTTTAATTGAACCATTAACGAAACCAATTTTGTTCTTTGCGAACAAAAAATTCATCATCTCTTGAACCCAATCTCTATAGTTGTTGTCGGAGAGAACATCGTTTACCTGCATCTGCCTTGGATAATCAGAGCAGTGAAGATAATATGGAGAATTGGGATCGATGGTGTTTCCATCGTTCTTTGGTGGCGGCGCCACGTTATCTCCGGCCATAGCGTCATTGATGTTTGAGATGGATCAATCAATCCTTGCTCTGATACCATAAAAAAAAACTTTTATGGCTCGAAAACTTAAATTTTATTAAACGAGCTTGGTCCTTTAAATAGGAGTAACAATCCTAATTACAATCAAAATAAGGAAACAATCCTAAATCAAATAAGGAAAACTCTCAAAGATGGAAACAATTAAAAAAAAAGGAGAAATAAAAGGTAAGTAAGATAAGATAAGAAAAGATTATCAACAAAATCTTTTATTAACAGATCAATGAAACCCAAATCTTATTTGTTTGTGCGCGGGCAACATGGAAGAAATAGATCGATTCATTTTTGTTGACAGATCTAAAAACCCGGTTGCAAAAAAAAAAATCATTGGCAATATGGACAGCACCGGGTTTTGGTGAATCATCGAGTTTGAATCGAGCATTTTGTGAAAGATTTTAGTGTGGTGATTTAGGGTTTTCATTTTCGAAGTTGAGATAGCAGAAGCGAATCTACGAGTTTCAAAGTTACAAGAAGAGGTAATTTAGGGTTTTGATTGTGAAGTTGAAGAATATTTAGGGTTGCGGGTTGGCTTTCCCAACTGGAGAAGATGAAGTGGATAATCAAATATACTTGAAAGTTGGATAAAATTAACAAAAATGCCTCTAATGCTACAGTATTAAAACTATAAAGTAAAGTATTTTATTTAATAAAATAAGGAAAAATAATAAAAGAAAAATGACTAAATTACCTTATTTAACGGATTCTTTTTTACAGAGTAAGAACATAGCAACGAATTGTAAACGAAACCCATAATATTGAAAACACATAGACAAAAATAACAATTTTCAATAAACCATATGGACAAAAATGTAGTTTACTCATGAATCTATGGCAAAATCTTATAATCCCTAATACGTTTGACTTATTGTATCCTATTAAGCCATTGACGAACAGCTTTTAAACCGTAGTAAAAGAAATTAGTAAGATTTACAAGGGACTACACTTTTGATTCACAACTGATTAAGATCAATATCAGATTGTATTTTGGTATGTGTGTGTATTGAAAAAAATTGAATGAAGAAACCAAGTGATGATGCAAGTGGGGAATCGGGATGGTGGAAACTACAAACAATCAACGTCATCATCTATCTTTCATTCTCTCCCTCCCTCTCATGAACTGAATCATGTCATCAACTTCTGGCTCATTTGCTTTTATTATTTGATAAATAAACATTACAAATTTTTATATGGAAAATACGGTAAGTCTAGCTGTAGAAATGGCAACAATCAGCAAAATCAACAAGTTAGTTTCATTAGCTAAATCAAACGCACAGCTTTGCTTTACTATATAATAGCCACACAAACGCCATCCATGTCGTCAATGCTAACTCCATTTGTGGTCTTACACCACCTGATGTTTCATAAGCTGCACCATGAGGTGGATCAGATGCAGGAGCAGAGCTAGGACTAGGACTAGGACTAGGGGGTGCCAACAATGGTAATGGTGCAGCTGCAGAGGCAACTCTAGGACAAGTGATTGGTGATGCAAGTCCAGGTTTCTCTATGCTAATTACACCATCTATGCCATGGCATCGCACCGAGTACCCATGAGTGCATATATTAGGACTAACGATTTTAACATTTCCAAGAAACAAACTCCTTCTGCCCCTATTGGAGACCTTAAGCATCAAATCAGGGTTTGATGTAGGAAGCATGCTGTTTGTGGGCAAATGAAGAAGGTGATCGAAAAGCAAAGGGGAGGGAATTGAATGGCGGAGCAAGAGATCCATGACACTGTTTTGTGCAGGTACCATAGTTCTGGAGAGTGATCTATCACTTGGCATCAAGAAAGTGACATTGCCTTGGAACAGATTGGGAGGAACCATGTTTATCAGCATGACAAAGGTGAAGTAATTGGCTCTCTCCATCTCTTCAATGGCTACAGAAATGTCTTTGTTTCCAGAAGGAGTGGCAACCACTGATGAGATGATCATCAAGGCCATGATCATAAGAGCAGAGGGACAAGTGGCCATGGGTGGTTTTGATGCTATCTTGAAATTAATAATTGGTGTTGTATACTGCTAATACCATAACCTTACTAGTAAGTAGGTTGAGGTTAATTAGCTTCAACATGCACTCTTGATGCTTTAACCACCAGGTATGGTATTTTTCACGCTTCTTGCATGGCTACAAGACTCCTTTAATTTTGCAGGAAATAAACCTACTTAGCTTCTTGGTGCAAAAAGTTCAATTTTATAATTAAAAATATCGTCCCCCACTTGAAGCTTTTTCCCTGATGATCTATATCTCCTAGATTACATGTCGAATTGAAAATTATGTAACTTCCGTGACAGGAATATTACTCAAACAGCCCGCCTTTAAGGACTCTCTTTCCTATCTATCAGCAAGAAAAATGAGAAACTTATCAACCACAATAAACATTGTTACCATGATTGTCCTGATTGAAAACATACCAACATCACTTTTGATGTCTCATGTAATCCTGCTTGACCTCTGCTAATCCAGGTGGAAACTCTTGCTTTGTCTCAAACAATTTTGAGATTTGCATATTTCTCAACTTTGTTATCAAAAGCTTGTTCTTTCATGGTTTGATTCATCTGCTTCATCGTCTTCTCTTTTTGAAGCTGGCATTTCCACTATCATTTACCTGCTTATCAACACAATTCCACAAGATTTCCTGTAAGAATAAAACATATGAGAATATGTGAAACCACATTATATGACTCTCCAAAAGAGCCCTCACAAGGAACCCCGCATAACACAAAAAAAACCAGAGCCATCACCATGTTCTCTGTTGAAGCTCAAAAACCAGAAAAACCTCCACCCCTTGTTACTTCTTCATCAGCAGCCTCTATTTGTAATAATAATAACAATAATCATACTCAAAGTTACCGGACTTGCCCAATCCCAAACCACGTACCTCTCCATACATACTGTTTTGAGAATCTTTCCTGATTCTTCGACAGGCCATGTCTCGCTGTTGGTTCCACCTGCACCACTTACTCTTTTTCCAGACCCATCTTTTCTCTCGCAAAATTGTCGCTGGATTATCCACTCTCAGTATCTCCAAAGGTGATCTCATCACGCCCTTGCCATCTACTGCATCATAGCAGAGTGAACAACCTCTACACAAGAGCGATGCAACTGAATGAAAGCAAAAACAAACATGTCACAGGATATAATTGAAGCAAATAGAATGGCCAAGTCAAATATGAAACTCAAACATGAATTATAAAGGTAAAGGTCAGACCTCAATGTTCTGTATCAGCTAGCTTTTATGTAGAACCAAGTTGATTATATGGAAAACAATGATGATTTACATCATTTGCATCTTAGCTGCCACCTGCACATTTGACAATGTATGAAAAAATTTTAAAAGATGAAGGTTATATGGAAAAGAAATTTGAGTACAAGAAAAAAAGGTAGATAAATACAAACCATGCCAGGGGAAAAAAAGACGTAACAAATAACGATCATTAGCTGATGTTTAATTTGGCAGCTACCAGGACTTTCTGCAATTCTGGAAGACATAGCTGTTGAAGTCATGTGGCTGTTTTTAGTTTAGTGGTTAGCTGGTTCTTTGGTAATCTTCCATTGATAAAAAAACAATTTTAGTTTAGGCAGAGCATCAACATTCCACATCAATATGATCACCCCTCTAATTTAGAATAATACACAAATATAGTATTCAAATCATCAAGAGGCAAGCGCATTGTTACAATTACAAAGTTAAAAGAAACTTTACCAAAAACAAAAAATGAATAAACTCCTCTAAATGCTTGTTGCTAGCAGATGAAGCCTTTTTTATTTCAATCTGCAACCTTTATCTTCAATCCAATTCCAATGCCAAGATTCTTGAGAAAAGGGATGCCCAAACTATTCATGAAACTTAAAACACCTTCAGCCTCGAGGGCCAAGCCTGCCGACCTGTACAAATGCACAGCTGCACTCAGGATAAACCTGTCTGGTTTTACATTAATGCTTTTGAACAAAGATATGCCTTTTTCCACATATCCATGATCCAAGTACACTCTAAGCATGGTTTGATAGCACCCAACATCAGGAGTCAATCCAGCTCTGATTAATAGCTTATAAACCCTCTCCACTTCCTCCACCAAACCTGCTTTTGCGAATGCAGAGAGTAATAGGTTATAATGAGTACACGACGGGGATATCCCTTGTTTCTCCATCAACCTAATGGCTTCCTCCGCTTCCATGTACTTGTGACTAGCTGCATAAGTTCGAACAAGGGCTAGATAGGTAAACGAGTCAGGTGAGCAACCATCTTTTTTCATGGAACAAAAAAGCTGTGCAGCTTCTTTGTAGGATCCCCCACTAGCATACACATTCATCATAATATTGTAGCTCACCTATATGAAACTTACAAATGTTAGAAATTATTCTGATTCCAGATTACTTCTATCACTCCTACTCCTTGGACTTACAAAGTTCATATTCCCCACAAACACATCTTCCAGATTAAAAATCGATAAACAAATTTGAATTTCCATCTCCAAACTATACACCAAATGCCCAAGACAAATTCATAATCTCAACTCATTCTCCCTCTACCCTTGATTACCTGTCTGTATAAAAGAATGGATTGCCCAGCACAGATTTGGATTATAAGATGATTAAACACATAATGTTTTTTAAAATCATTTCATATGAGGTAAAAGAAAATATCTTAAAGTTGCTCCCAGAGTAAACACAATGAAACCCCATAATATAACCAAAAAAAATACAAGGTTGAGCCAAGGAGGGATTAGGTAAATAAATACCAAGTACCCTACAAAACATCCAAAATGAGATGCCGCATGGTACCAAAATCATATCATATCAAAATAATACACTGGATGCACACCTCCAACCCAAAATCATATCATATCAAAATAATACACTGGATGCACACCTCCAACCGTATCTAAAATTGAGGGGTGTGTATAGCAGTACAACGCGCAAACGCATAATAGAACAGAAGCTAAGGCCGGAACATACTAGTATCCTTGTACCTTGAACATTAAATGATGCCTTTATAATTTTCTTGAAACAGTAACTTTGCAACTGGGCGCATTAAATTAATTACCTACCCTAAATGGTGGCCTGGTGGTATTTTAGGATTTTACACCAAAATGTAAGGTCTTAGTTTCAACTCTTCCCATCCTCCCTAGGAGTCAACTAAACAAATTAATCAACCAAATTTCTAACAAAAGAAAAAAGAAGAATATTGTGCATAAAGTTTTTCAATAGAAGTCGAATAATACTAGGGTGCGTACCTGCCCAGGTTTTATTCCCTCTTCCTGCATTTGGTTAAACAAGATGGATGCTTCGCCACTTCTACCTACAAAAGGCCATGTAGTTAGAAAGATGGCATGCCAATCTATAGCACTAAAGAATAACTGACCCTATACAATCCAGTAACCACTAATTAAGATTCTAGCATGATAATCTATCCATAACATAAAGTAGAGACACGGACACCTTCTGCACTTATAGACAAGGCCTCAAGTAAGTTTGGAGTCTATCATGAATCACTGTCCCATGAATATATCAAAATGCTTTAGAATCTCTTTCAGTCTTTTGAGACCTTAAAAGCGACAATTGAGTCATGACTCATGAATGCATTCTGCTACTCCAATCAATAGGAAGAAGCAGTGTATTACCAGCCTTCCCATAGTAACATATCAAATTCGTGTATGCTTTCTCATCCAGAGCCACACTCTTTACTCGAGCAGTGTTGAACATCTCTATAGCTTTATCTAGATCTCGACTACGCCCATGCACACTGCATGTATCAACAGGTTTATCATAAGAAAAGGAGCAGTGGACTATTTTCCTTGCTTGTGTTTTCGTAATTGTGATAAATTTAGTCAAACCTAATCGTGAATGAATATCTAAGTTCTTACGTAATCATGGTGTTGAATGTTTGAATTGATGGAGCAACATCATTTTTAAGCATTCTCTCATAGATACTGGCAGCAAAATTCAATCTACCTGCACAATTAAATGTCAGCTGACCTCTTCATTGGTCTCATTCAAGAAGAAAAAGGAAAAGGAACTAAAGAACAGGAAGCAAACCAGCATCTAGCATTGCCTTTATGAAGGTATTGTATGCCACTGCATCAAGCTCCATGTTCTTACAGAAACAATCATTGATGATATTCCCTGCCTCACGATGCTTTCCTACAAGTGAATAATAAATATGACTTGACATTAAATACCACATGAGCTACAAATACCACTTAAATCTGGGAACAGAAACAATATTTGCATGGGAACCTTATTACCACAACTAGCCAATGTTTTCACAAGCATGCTGATTGCAACATCACCAATATCATGGCCTTTCTTATTTTCCTCTTTGTAAAACAAGTATGCCTCGTCCACTTTTGCACATTTGGCAAATACATCAATCATAGAATTGTACAAATATTTTCGTGCTGCAGGAGCATCCACCACTGCTGCAAAGACTTGTTTGGCTCGTTCCAGCTGATTTTGCTTTCCATATAAATATATCATAGACGAGCAAGTAGAAATCTCCGGCTTGCAATCTAGCTTCAGTAATAGGTCAAATAGAGATTCTGCTGCAAATGTCAAACCTACAGCAACAACGAAAGATGACACTAAATTTTGGTACTGAAACTCAGTAAGTATCTTTAATTGAAACAAAATGTCACCTTCTTTGATGAAATTGTTAACCAGTTGACTGGCTACTAACAAGCCATTAGCAGTCTTCAGCAACAACTTGAGTGTTTCTTCCATCTTACTTGCAGTTCCTGCTACCATATACAGAGTCAGCAGTAGCTCATATGCCATTGCACCAGTTTGGTCCAAGGGATCTGAATCAGCTTTAAGTCTCATAAAGTCTCCATGTATAGCCATTGAAACTGTTTGAATGAACCTGTCATCTTCGAACAAACAGTTTTTGCTAAGCTCGTGTATCATTTGCTCAACATCACTTGACATGTTTTCCTTGCAATATACCTTGATAACCATCTTAAGAAGCACCTTATCAAATTTTACTTGATTTTTTCGTATCTGGGTAATGAAATCTTTCGCCTTGTCGGTAAGTCCTAGTTTTATATACAAAGTTAGCATGCTGGTGCAAGAAGAACAGTCAGGGAAGCCAGTCTCTGAAAGAGCGTGTAAGGTAAGTTCAGCAGCTTCTGTGTCCCCCTTCATAACATAGCATTGTAACAAAACATTATAGGCAAACCTTGAAAACTCCACCTTTCTAGATCTCATCTGTTCCATTACATCTAGTGCTTTTTCACAATTCCTGGCATTGAGATGGACTTGTGCCATAGTTATATATGTTTTATCATCACTTAATAGGCCCAACTTCTCAATCTCTTCAAATGTTGTCATGGCATCCTCATATAGACCAAGCTTACCATATATCCTAATAAGCAACCCATATATGACTTCATCCGCTACAACTTTATATCTCTCCATTTCTGAGAAGAGAGATAAAGCTTTAGAATAATTCCCACTTTTGTAGTACAGGGATAGAAGTGAAGCACATGTGAAGTTACTAGGAACTATTTTTTGTTGTCTCATGTCTTGATAGAGCCTTAAAGCTTCTTCTTCGACACCCTTTTTAGAATTTTCGGTAATAAGAAGACTATAAGTAACCTCCTCTGGTACAAATTTCATAGCCTTCATCTCCTTAAAAGTCTTGAAAGCTTCATCAGTAAGACCGGTTTTCAATAATGAACAGATTACAACTGTATATGTAAATTGATTGGGCATTATACCACTTGCTACCATCTGTCTCCAAATCTCTATGACACTTGGGTGAAAAGTTTTCTTCTGCAAAGAAGATAGCATGAAATTGTAAACTGCAACAGAGAGCACGATGCCCCTTTCTTGTACAGCAGAGAAAAATGACAACATGGGCTTATGGCGACCCCATTTAGCATATGCACACAGCATAGTTCCACAAGCAACTTCATCCGGCTCACACCCAGCCTCAAGCATTTCCAAGAATGTCTGTTCTGCAAGCTTGATTTTTCCGGTTTGTCCATAAGTTCGAAGCACAAGCGTATAGACGATAACACTGGGCCGGTAACTTAACTGTTTAAGCACAAATCTAACATTACACCAAATTAATCAAACAACATACTACTAGTAAAAGTGTAAAACAGTAGTCCTTTTTCTCAATCATAAAGACAGCCAGCCAACACGGTGTCCTCTAATTCCCTTAATTTTGAGTTTCAGGTAATCATAATTTATTATCGAGTAAATACCTGTAACTTCATCCAAGCAAGAAAGTCCCTGACTTGCCTCCAATTCCTTTGCTCTTTCAACACAGTACACATCTCTCTAAAAGTGAGTTTGGTAACAAAAGAAGCCATGACCTGCCTCATGTCATAAGACCCATCGGGTAAACCCGAAAGGCTCCGGACCCGCTGAATGGCTGCCACGACATGCCTACCGTACAAATGGCCGTTCCTATCGTCCTCCAAGTATTGAACCATCTGCTCTGGGGACCTCTTGATCCACCTGGGTGTGAGGGCTCGTGAACCCTGGTTGCGCCTCAAAACGCTTAAATAACGGGCTTTGGCTTTGATAATGCGGCGAGCGTTGTCGTCTGAAAGAGGATTCTTTGGGTTCTTTGATTTAGGTTTGGGTTTGGGTTTGTTTCCATCGCTGAGGGACCATGGATCTGGTGAGACTGAACATGAGATGGTGGAATTAAGCTGAAGATGATACTTTGAAGAGTGAGTATTCAAATTGAAATTCAAAAGGGTTGTGTTTAGGAAAGGAGACTTCAAAGCTTCCAGCAGCATCGCCGATTCATGTACTTGCTCAAAAACCCAACCCAAGAATAAAAAAGTGAACCACAAAGAAAACCGTTTGCTTTTCTTCCGATATATGTTAGGGGGAGGCTAACGGGAACTTAGCCTTTATCAATGGCACCCCTATTTTCTATATAATGATTTTTTTTTGTATTTTTTTTATCGTCTTTTTCTTTTTTATATTAATTTTCTTTTTTTATTTTATTTAATTATAAATATATTACTATTACAAATATTATTTATTATTATATAAAAATATTATTACTGAAAAAATATTATTTTTTTATCAAAATTTCTATTAAAAATATTATATGTTTTATTTTCTCTTTTAATATTTTTTCTTAAAA